TAATTGCATCATTAAATAGATGTAGTAACGGAAATATTGAAGTATCTCCGTACTTCGGCAACGAAGTACGACGTACTTGCGATAGGCTACAATTGGAGTACTTGAGTTCTGCACATCACTACTTCATCCTGAAGTAGCTTGTGTATTCTATCACCACAGAACTCAAGCACTCTCCTGTTGATACACTGCAGTACTTTATCATCAAAGTACACCCGCATTTCCTCCATAAATCGTCCGAGATCTCATCAAGATTCAAAGTACTCACGAGCAGATTGAAGTTGTTGAAGCCAGAAAATTGCAATCAGGTAACGCCGGGAATTTGGCAAGACGCTGAAGATGTTCATCACCCAACATAAATAACATGGCTTGCCCAAACATTGCCGTTCCCACTTTGTCATTGAGTGAAGCTGTCTTCGGAAGCCTATAATGATATTCCAAACGAACGCTTTCAATTCAAGCTCATCGAGGGATAAAATACATATCTAATTCAAAACTCGAGTGATCCTATTGAAATGACTTGTCCAAAGATTGAATGTTGTAATAGCATTGAAAAATAAAGCAACCCAGTCCTTTGACTTAGCAACACGCAACCAGTTGGAAATTTACCACTTGCATATGAATAAGGAGAGCTTACGTACGACTGGATTTCCCTTTGGAGAATCTTCTCCGTGAGAATAAGAGAGACAGAGTGGTGGATTGAATGGCATGAGAACATAGAACATGTATCCCAGAGACTTTGGGGATCTCTTAATCGGCACGAGAGTTTCCGAGCCCTCAATTCGTATCAAAGCAATTGAGCTCCGCTTTGCTCTCTCATCGGATGGCGGAATGTAAAGAGGGGGAAGGAAAATGGACGACGATGGGAAAGGGGTTGGATAGTCCCAGTGTGACACAGCAGACAAGTCAACCGAGAGACTCGAGCGAACGACTCGAAGACAATGCAATTATTCGCAATTACCGCGTTGCGTCCGCTAGTACCGGGAATTATCTCATTCTGTTTCCATTACTGGAATACCACCCCTGTCTCTCCTTACCACCCATCCTGCTCTCCCTCTCTCTCTCCCTCTCCCTTCAATACCTGGCCTTTGTCAAGCGAGACAACACAATATGTATTACTGAATACACCTTGCGCGATTCTACCTGAGATGAAATTCTGTAATTTGTCATGTCTGCATGTGGAGTTTGCGTTAACTCATTCAGAAATCAGTCTGTTGGGTTTTCCCTTTACTACTCCTGTCACGATGTTATCAATTTCCCCTCAGTTCAGAGGATAACACAGTTATCAAGCCAAATAAAATACACAATTGCAAAAACAGGAAAGGACAAATGATTTTGGGCTGTCTGAAAAAATATTGGAGTATTAAAAAATAATTCATTCCATCGGTAATGAGCGTATAATAATTAATTGCGGAAAGGGGTATAAATCCTGTTTACAGCAATGCAACTGCAGCTAACGTAATAGTAAAAATGAGAAACAGATAACTAATGTGAGTAAAAAGATTTTCATTTGCTCGACGGGAAAGGGGGTTGGGGTGGAGGAGGCCACACTATACATAATATTTCTTCGCTTCATGGGTCTGGAACGGGATGCTAGCTAATGTAACAAAGGAAAAGCGTCCCGGGGTAGACGAGTGGATGGCGAGCGACGAAACGTAATTACCAGCCCCCATATCTGCCCCCCGGGTCTTCCCTCCTCCAGAGTCTACAGCTCCTCTTTATTCCCTTCCACCCACTTCCCTCCCGTTAAACTCCCCAAGAAACGAAACTCACTGCCTCTCCTTTCTCCTCCTTCTATTTAGCTCAAGCGTACTTTTGCCCTCTTTCCGGTGGCATTTTATGACAAAGGTAACATTCGGTAAAAGTGTCATACAACTATTATAGTGTCGTAAAAAGAGTCTCCACCTCGTTCTCCAAAAAAGTGTAATTAATTTTCTCCCCTTTTTTTTTCACTCGCACTCTCTGTTTTCTCGGGATGAAAAGCGCATCATGGGGGGAATATCATTTCATCACTGCTATAATTTTATGTGAACTACTTGATGTTTAAAATGTCATTATTTTCGTAGATTTAAAGGAGATGTCGACAGGTTTTTAAGGACGATTTTTTTTTTTTTGATAACCCATCGAAATTTCGTCTTCGATAATTTCGCCGGAATGATAATTATTTGAAATTGTTCGTGGAAATAGCCAAGCGTGGGAAATTAAAAGTTCTTTTTTCGTGTTATTAAGTAGTTTCGTAAGAGGATATCTCTGTAATAAAGTGCTGAACTGAAATCCTCTTAGCAAAAATTAGTGTCACCTTTTTTCTCAGGAATCTATTATACAAGGGGTAACTTTGAAGTTAGGAACAACGATAATCTTTGCATTCAATTCAAGACTATACAAATTTATATGGAAAATTTTCTTGTTTTTGGAAATTAAAAACCCCGCGTAAAAAAAATTGTAATCGGAATATTTTTTCCAAATTTTCAAAAAATTTCTCGAAAACTTTTTAGAATTTTTTTTTTGAACCAAAAAAAATTGGGACACAAAGCAATTGTATTTTTGGGAAACGTTTTGAAAATTTTTTCAAAACCTTTCCCAAAAATAAAATTGTTTCGTTTTGCGAATTTTTTTCAGTTTCATAAAAAAAAAAATCTGAAAAGTATTCCAGAAATTTTTTGAAAATTTGGAAAAAATATTCCGATTACAATTTTTTTACCCGGGACCATGTACTGAATTCAAGGACACATAGATTTAATTAAATAATGATTTTTTCTGAGTGGAAATTCACGTTTTGTGACTCTTGGAGCTTTCTGACAATGTATGGGAATACGGGTACTCGGAACCTTTGGAGATTTCACTCGTAAAGTTAAAAGTACTTGGTGAGCGACCATAGAGGACGATTCTCAACACCTGCGACCCAGGCTCAAGAGTCGAGGTTATAACTTACCCAGCCCCCAGGGCTTCTTTTACAGGTTTTTTCCCTTTTTCATCCTGGCCAACCTCTCGCTCACTGAAGATTAGTTTATATACATTTTAGTTCCCACTAGCACTATAAATTCCAGGCTGCAAATATTTACGTAGGGGCATCAACCATGATACTTCAATTACTTGAGGGACGTCTATCTTTGAACAGTTGGAGCAGAGGTGGTTTGCATTTTTATTATTAATTTTTCTTTTTTCTTTTAAATTGCCCACTACCATCGCGAATATTGCTGCAGTTTATTTTCCCTTATTGATGCGTTTATTGATCGTTTTTCTATTAATAAATTCTATTAGCTATTAAAAATGCATTCCCTTTCGATTATTATGAATTTTTCCGTCTATCTCTTTCAATATTTGAATCCATAAAAATGGTATTCTCCATTTTTTTTCGTAAAAATGACAATTTATCATGGGTCGAATTTGAAAAGAGCGGATTAGTAAAAATCAACAACAAATTGAAACATATAACTTTTTTTTTCTACACCCCACAGCCGCACCTCGATAATTTTGTGTAAGTGCCCCGAGGGAGAGATTTCAATTGAGGAACGTCAATATTAGGTTTTCCGGACGGTTTTTTATTTCATACTCCATCATAACTACGATGCGGAAAATGCAAATTACACATGCATGATTTACCGTCATTATCTGCTTTTCAAATTACTGATTCGAATATATATTCTGATAGAAATCCGATTCACGTTGATATATTTTCCACTTTTTCCCTTGAAATATCCATGAAACATTTGCAATAGCATGAGAATATTATTTATTCAGGATTAATAGAGGTGCAGACGCGTGTAATTAACGAGGCTTGATTGAAGCGTTTACTTTTTGGTAATGAAAAAGTGGGTACTCACAAATTCCCACTGAAACGTTGATATCAATGGCGTTACGGAACATTAATCAGAACAGCTCACCGAAACTTTGCCAACAATTTGTTCATACCGTGGCGGAATAATCGAGTCTGCGTCTCGTCTTTCAGGAAACTTGTTCGATCCCATTGGGAAATATCCGTTGATATTGCATTCAAAATATGGTAGCGAAAGCTCGATGATGGTGGAAGGCGTGGAATTCTAAACCACTAGTTCCTTGTCTGCGGTTCCAAGGGTACCAAAGTTAGTCATATTCCAATGGTTGTCTTTCTACACAAGTTCACTTCACTTTATAGATTGAATAGTTGATAATCCCTTCTCTGTGGTATTTTCCAGTGGCAGATTACGGTTTCTATACTTCCGCTATTAATTTCACTCTGTCCATTTACATATCTACCCCTGCACTATTATATATTTCTCCAAATTCAATCTGAATTCTCTGAATTTCCCACAAAACGAACCAGTTCATCAATAACAAAACCAATTAAAAATCCCCATAAATGATGAAATAAAAATGAATTTTTCAACTGAAAAATACAGAAATAAAATAAATTATGGAAACCTCAATTTGAGTTTAATGAATATCTCTTGAATCATTAAGCAATCGCTGTGGAAAGAGTAAAATCCTGGAAATTAGTGGGACTCAATAATTTCCTTGGAATTACCTCCGACAACTCGAACGAAAATAATCCCACCAACATAATAAAATTCCCTCAAATAACGTTGAATTGAAATACATCCATGGAAAATCAGGGAGGACGTACGCCATAGAACGAAGGAATCCACATTATTCCGCATCTCCTATATTACAATCACTCAGTTCCAATCTCCGTGCCACCCTTCGCAGACTTTCGAGAGGTAATTTGTCGGAATGTTGAGAACGATGGAATTGTGTAGACGGATGGAGTGAGGAGTGTAGTTAAGTTCTCTTTAACAAGATGAAGCTCGACGATGAATGTAGACCATAGTATCCCTTGTTAGAAAATACCTGCAGCTGTCCTACTTCATCCTTTGTCATTCTTTTACTCGGTTGGAATTCTCGTTTCGAGGAGAGGCCATCAATTATTTTGAACGATGTCTGAAAATTACGACAATGCTTATTATACTGAAAACTTGAGACTGAAAAATCCTCAATAACGAGTCAAAATAATTTCAATGTTTCAGCAACAGCAGCAGCAAGCACAAGCACAACAGAATACACAGCAATCCCAACATGCACAGTCAACACAGCAAGCACAAGCCAGTTCTCCAGGTACTTGCAATCCTGGAAAAGCAAGCCCATCACCAACGAGTTCTTCATCACCCGGAATCACCTCTAACACCAACAAAACAACCACTGAAGCCAAATTGGTTGAGTGCAGTCTGTGTCGTCGACAGTTTAAAAATATTCCCGCTCTTAATGGACATATGAGACTGCATGGCGGATACTTCAAAAAGGTAAAGAGCTTGTCGTGTCGTTTTAGTCCTTCCTATTCTGCTAATCTATCAACCTTGTTCATACAGTAGAGGACTTTTTCAATTCAATTCACTCCACTTTTTAATGAGCAAATTTTACAACAACTTCAAACAATTTACATGCATTCAGTTTGTTTTCAATGAAATCGTTGGGATTTCGTCAAGAGGATTGAATAGTATTTGAGAGTTTATTATTTAATGATGTTCCTACCATTTCATGTCGATCCGCTGTCAAAAGAGCTTATGGAAATACGAAAAAAGTGCATTTTCCTATTTTTTGTCTCATTAAAACTTATATAAAGATCGAAGAAAAAAAAAGAAATAAAAAAGGAAAAGGTGGAGTTGTGCAACACACTTGCTTAATTAATTTATAGCATTGATAATGAAAGTACTCTGTAAATCGAATTATCAACAATATTACACTAAGTCAGACGCTTATTATTGACCATTATAATTCTTTCTCTGTCATAATTAACTCTTGCTGAAACTACTCTTAACATTTCCATTTTCCAATCTCCATTTTTTCAAAATAAAATTTCCATTCATTAACATATCCAAATACACTCAGCGCTCCATTCTCCCATCTCTTCCTCAATAAAAACTAGTTTGAAAATTCTCTCCTCAGCAAACGATAAACTCCCTCGCACAACGGGTTGAGCAAAAAAAAACGTTTACCTCTAATTATCAAAGCCCCAGCGATAACAAGATTGTCAATATAACCCGCTAGAAACCCCTCCCACTATCCCAACAATGCCCCCCAACAAGAGGCGAAAAAAAAAAACGATCAAAACCCCGAGAACAAGGCAGAAAGCAAAAAAAAAACAAAAACTTGAAATACGATAAGAGGAAGAGCGAGAAAAAAACAAGATCAGCGATTCCCCTTCGGGTTTGGTACCTCAGGAACACTGAGGGCACTGATTAAAAATGTCTTGACGAAGGTACAGCACCTCCCGATGCGACGCTCATAGAAAACTGCTGAAAAGCTCGGTAACGGAAAAGTTTTCCCTTTTATTCGTTGCCACTTCCGGCTAGGTTGAGGAAAGCAGAGTGAGGAGTGAGAGGAAAACTGCAGGGAGATCGGGAAAAAAAAAAAATGGAGGGAGAACGGGATAGCAAGCGGGAATGATGGAAAAAAGATCGGGAGATAAAGGCAGACAGGGCACCTAGATAGAGATTGAAACTTTGGTAGTGTAGAGGGTAAAAGAAAATACCGGAAGGGGATAGCTGCGGAGGTATGAAGTCTCTCGCGAGATAGAAAGATAAGGCGATGATCGAATCGAAATGAACCCATTAACAAGTTCTTTCGTTCCAGAGCGTTCGAACCCAATCCCATGGAGGTGTTGGAAAAGTAGTAAGACTATCCCCACCTCACCGGTTTCTTCTTGCACCTACATCCCAACCTTCGTGCAAACATTGTCTCGGGCTTTTCTTCCATTATGCAGATTGAATCTGACTGGGTTACGTTTCAAGGATTTTCTCATCACTGGGGCTCTCTCATCTTGTATTATTACAAACTTATTACGAGGTTGAGCCCAGTTGAATGACGCACTGCAGTCCGAAAAATTGAAGTTTATAATTTATGATAATGTTTAGATTGGCAACGGAAGGAGTCATGCTAATGGAGTTTTAGTTTGATTGGGCTAACTTCTGCTGTGGGGTTCAAGCGATTGGTTTCGGTAGCAGTAAAGGAAATTGGAACTTTGGCAGTGACCTTCACTCTGTAGGTCAGGGTCGAGGTGGAATTAATGGGTCAAAATTGGAGGTCAATATAAATTAAATGTGAGGGTCAATGTGGAGAGTTTGCTATTCTTGTGGATTTCATCTGTCTCAATATTGATTCGTTCCCAATTTTTCGTTATGTTAAAAAATGGTGAATCAAGATGGGGGTAAATGAATATGCATTAAATAACATCGATAACATTGTCTGTAATTTTGCACTTTCACTGGAGTAATTTAAAATGTCATATCGGGTGGAATTGAATTGACGAGTGGAGTCTGTACACACGTGGTCTCGTAATCAATTCCACCGGGAATATTACCCTTCCCGCAGGATGAGTTGTTTAATATTCATGATGCAACCGGCAGAGGATGTGTGGTATAATACGACGTCAAAGACAGACTTCAATTTCAGAATGCGTGATGTATCGAACTCGGACATTGGTGCGACTATCAGCGGAACAAGCTGGTGAACAGCACGTGGGTTGGTTGATTTAATTATTTGAGAATAAAAAATGGGTAAATTGATCTGCAAATTTTTCAATGACAGGCTGAGTATTCAGTTTCATTGAATTCACCGTTTTTCAACAAACAATGCTGTTATTTATTTCAAAAATTTAATCAATGGGGATTGAATGTATGATATCTCTGGTTTCAGTGAATGTTCCAATTTACGTTGTTCATTATAAACGAGTCTTTCATGAAATATTTTCATTGTTTTACCGCAGGAAATCCGCTGGAAGAATAAAATTTTTCGGATTTCAATTCCGCATTCTGCACATTGAATGCAATTGAGAAATGGGGGGAGTAGTTTACAAAATGTATGACCCATTGGTGAAAAAGTAATAAAGTAATTATGAAAAAAAAAATATAAAGAGTACCTGTCAGGTCACCTCAATGAATTTATATCAACAATGCATTTGACAGTGTATTTTCCGATTGGAGTGGCTGTTTATCGAATCTGAAGGATGCAGAAAGGATGGGAAGAAGTGAAAAATTAAAGAGTGTAACCCATCAAGCCGAGGGGATGAATGGATGTTACTCCCTTGAATGTTTCAATGACACACATGTAGGGCGGGAGGAAGGGGAATATCACACACCGGCGATTCCATCACGAGATAATCGAATGGTAGGAGCGATTAGCCTAGCTCAGTGATTAGTCGTGTGTCGCCTGTTCCGGCGTATCAATTTACGGGTATGGCTTCTAATCTGGCGTCAGACCTCCCTTCATGCCATTCCCGGACGCGTGGGAGCTACTCGGGATTTACCAAATCGACCTACCATCCCTCGTCAATTCTCAATCGGAACCATGCAAATCGCAACAGTCACTGATTAATTATTTTTCATCTATTCATTATTTCAGGATGGCGAGAACAGGAAGAGCGAGAAGAAGGAAACCCCTGGACCACCTCTGCAGACAGCATCCGTCAATGTTCGGGCACTCATCGAGGAGAAGATTATTCAGAAGAGGACCACCGGTGAGAATCTCTCATGCCCTTTATCAAACCAGATGATTTCTTCATCAATTCTCATCAATTGTACACTCAATATATGTTATAGGTTTTATTTATCGATAAGATTTTTTCTTCGTGTGCCTCCGCATGATAATTTATTAAAATACACAGAGAATAAATAATTTCTATAAAATAAATATATGCGGAGAGAAAAAATCGTGAAAAGTTACGTTCGCGTTCCGCAAATTGACTTGGCGTGAGTAAACGCTTACAAATATTTGAAATATGTGGAGATCTTGCAGTTAGTAAATTTACTGGACAAAAGTAATTATTTCACTGAGTGTATATTCGTTCTACGAGGCTGTGGTCTCTATATCGATATGAACGGACTAAAATCCCGAAAATTCATGCAATTTTTCCATTATCCCATTCGTGTTGCATGTTGTGGAGATACGGGAGATTAAAGAGCATCCATTTTACCAGAATTGGATTCCCTGATTTTCATATCACCAAAAGTGCTTATTCATTCGGTGACTTGTTCATTGAGAAGGGGGTAAAAATGACACAGACGCCTTTGCCTGCCAATATATTTTGTGCAAGTGGTCACGGTCCGACGAGCACAACGTCCAACTCTTTTTCCACCCCCCGATTCACCCCCCGTCGTTGATTTACCGTTCTAACATGCCAGAATATTTCTTGCATTGTCCACGTGGTTGTGATAAATCAAAAAATTGCACCCGCTGTGCATTTTCTACCATCGATGCTCCCTAACAGTAGAGATGAAAGAGAAAAATATAGGGAATGGTCAGAGAAGAAGAGGGCGATGAAGGGGTGGGTGAACACTGCAGAGAGGGCGTACTCCATGGATTGCAATTGGTGAGAGTACGTAACTGTTGTAACAAAGTGAGCGCCTTCCACGATTTATGATTCTATTCGTTTATTCGCGGTGAAATCTGTCAATTGCAAATTCAACCTAGGGCGCCCGAATAAATCTCGACATATTTTGGGCTATCGAGTGCCAGTGATTACGGGAGTGATTACGGGATTATCATAATCGCATCGCGATGACGCGAGGGTTTTCTGTAATTCGATGACGGATTACTTGTCCAGAGAATTTCTCTGCACCGAGTGATTTTTCACATTTTTCACGAGCTATGGATATGAAAATTACGAAATAATCTGGAAAAAATTTAAACAAATTTATAACAATTCGCGCTCTGCGTTAATGATTTTTGAGAAAAAAAAAAGATTCATTTTTCATATCGAACTGCAGAATGGGCGGGCTGTGGCGATTGATATATTCGGATTCCTATCGGGAGTAAAGGCACAATTTTTATAGCTCTCCGGGTGTATCTTCCATCGCCATCATTTCCACCGTTTCGAAAAATATTTACTGTTAACACTGTCATATTTTTTTAACAGAATTTATCACAAGAAAAATAAACAGTAAATCCGTTACAAAAGGCCATCGCCCGAGGGCCTCAAAATAATATTGCATTCAACTGACTGCATGTAAATAACAACAGCAAAAATACTATTCCAACGATTCTCCTTCGTATTGGTGATATCATCGCGAATGAATTTCCCATGAAATATGTTTTCAAATAAAACATATTATGTAACGGTAGGAAAACATGCAACTCCGAGTTTTTTTTTTCTGGAAAAATGCTTGGTACTTCACGTATCTCCAGCGAGTAACGAAGTATAAATGCAAACTTTTTTCAAATGCCCTCCGGCAGTTGAGTGAGTACCTCACAACTCTGTTTACCCACTCGAATGCATATTTCCGTGAATATATGATGCTGAAAGAGATGACTACACGTAATTATTGATGAAAACTATGTCTGAAAAATTCGAATCCACTTCTCCGCAGCATCAGAATTTTATTCAATTTTCCCGAACTATTGTAACTGAATTTACAATATTATGGAGTTGAATTTGAAGTAAGATTCGATTTTTATAAGTCCAAGAGGTGTTTGCAATTGTTCTCCTGAATACCCGAGATATGCTGACAGCCAGAAAATATTAATCTCCGTTTTTTCATATCCTACTCTGGCTAGAAATGTTCATCACTTTTGCCATGAAGATCTCTCCTAAAGTTCTTAAGCTTGCCACTGAACACTGCGATAGTTAAGTGGCAATTTGTAGATATCCCATTTGAAAGCTCAACTCTTAATTCACCCGCGAGGCCAATCGTCCAGCTACCAATTCATACGATAAAGCTCAGGGATATAATCGGCTTGCAGTTACAATTCGTTGGTAATCCACGAATCCGCAAAAAAAAGCTAAACCAACAGCTATAAAATGCACAATTCCCTTGCATACCCCATCGAGCGAAAAATAAAACTTCCATTATCCGACTCCACTCTTCACAATAGTAAAAAAAAAAACGAATTCCTAAAATAAATAGCGTAATACTCCGGCATTAAGTCGCCCTGAATTAATGACGCAGACCTGGGTAAAAAGAAGAATCATTAATTTTCTCTTCCTCGAAGACAGTTTTCATGCATCATTAACGAAGGAAACACAAAAGAAAGTCATAATAAGAAATCAGCTAGCGACGAGACAGGGAAATCGTTTGGAAGACAATTTCAACGAGAGATGAAGAGAGATGGAGCAATCAAAGGGAATTTCCTTTTGTGCCCAATCAACCCTTCGTTCAGTTCATTTAGTCCGGGTTTTCGCATCATTGTTGAATATTATTATTTCATTTTTTAGGCGTGCAAAAAAAAGGGATACAATTCTAATGAGGCGATTTTTTTTTCTTTTTACTTGATTTTTTCATAGCAACAGAGGCGAATGCAGCGAATCAGTCCAGAGCGAATCCATCTGTGTTTACAGGACAGACAGACGGTGCAACTCATGTCATTGGAAAAACGAGTTTTGCTGTACCAGCACCACCACCACTAGCAGCTAGTGAAAAAATCAGGAGGCTGTCAGATACTGAGCATTTTCGCCAGCCAAATGTTACCGTTACACATACGACTGTTCAAAAACAATTACAGGAGGCGCAGACGCAGGCGCAGGCACAGGCACTTGCTGATATGATTTTGAAGGTAATTCAATAAAATAATTACATCCTCTTGAATAATCCTGGGACAACAATTGAAACAGAAGAATGATAGAAAAAATTGTGTGCGTGAACTTGGCCCTGCCTTTTTGTAAAATAGTGACCATTCCCAGGGAAACTTGCAGCGTAGTTTAGCACGATAGTAGCACATAAAAATATAACGTCTAATCGTTGAAGGGTACTTCGAAAATGGCTGTTAAACGGACAACTTCGGATCCTGGTCAACGAGTTCAATTGACTTATCCGACGTCCCTTCAAACAACTGCCACTCAATGTCAACAAACCAATCATCTTCGGCAGTCTAATGCTCCTTCCCAGCCTCAATCCCAGACTGCTGTTACCGAAAGCTTTACAATGACTGGATATTCCGAAGATGGTGGCTACTTCAGTCCCAGTTTGCAGGACGAGGTTTTTCAACAAGTCACTGCTGTTCCTGATTCGGTACTGCTGCAAGCCAGTCAGCTCGATTCTATCCAGGTAATTAATTGAAGTAATCATGCTCCGAGTGTTTTTAAATTGTCGAAAAAATTTTCTAACATTTTGATACGACGAAAAAAAAGGAGCACGTGGACGATGACGCGAACTAATAAAAACCAATAAAAATTTCAAGTTCCAGACATCGAGTCTGCTGCAAGATCAGTCCCCAGATCAGCTCCAGGACATCAGCCTTGAGGATCGTTTCACTTCTCAACACACAGTGAATCCAGACCTCCAGGCACTTGTTAACTCTCCGCTACCGGATTCTCTCGCAGAATTCAGTACCTATGGTACTCAGTACACAGAGAGTCCCCACACCCTCTCAACGCAATCTCCACTTCCATCCCCACTGACTCGACACGATAGCCCCAGTTTCACCTATCCAACACCACCAGCCAGTCAAGAAGGCCTGCTAACAGGTACTCTTCCTCTGCTGAGTCCCCAGGACGATCCAGAGGCAGTGCGTCCAGTGTCATCACCCCTGAGTGCAGCATTCTACACGACAACATTATCATCCGCAGCAGCTGTGGAAGAAGCACTGAACGCAGTCCTCCCCGAGGAAGCCGAAGGTGACAGCGATCTTTACGCCTCGGCCTCTCCAAATCCAAATTCACCCCTTCCAAGTCCCCTATCTGCAACCCCAGCACCCTCACCCCTGTCCTCTCTCCCTCCGTCGTCAGTCTCATCCCCGGGACCCGGTGCATTCACATCTGCCGGTTTTCCCGTCTCTCCCCATCACGCTCTTCAAAATCAAATGATGCCAAACTCCGAAGATCCCCTTCTATCCTCAACTCCAAAAGACTTCGCAGCAAATCGACGCAAATTCGAATTTCAATCATATAAACTGATAACAAGTCAGAATTTCGTTGACTTTGGATTAGGAAATGGCAGCCTAGCTGGCATCGTTGTTGACAATAACGGTGAATACAAGCTGATACAAACAACCGGTCTACAGAAGACAAACGTCCTTGTCCAGAGTAGTGCCCTGAATCCAGGATTAACATTTAGGAAGGAGATACACCTAGCATCGCCACAGATAAAGCCGAGCATAGTCAATATATCGACACAGGGCATAAGTCTACAAGGCCAGCAGTATCACAATCAGATACATCAGCAGGCAATTAATCCAGCTAAATTCTTGATACAAACGACAAATACAGTGAAGACACCATTGAAGCAGAAGATCAATCTACCAATTCCAGTTGAGCAGATTAAAGAGGAACTGCTGGATGATGATATTTTTCTCAGTCCTGGTAATGTATCGAGTCCTCTGAGACAGAGTAGAAAGCGACCGAGGATTGAGGGTACGTTGACGTCACATCCATCGAGATTGAGACGGGCTTGTGATCGTCATTGGGACAGTAGTTATACACCACCACCGATATTGGATCCGTCGAGATTAGGTGCTGGGCTTTATGCGAGATTACATCATAATGAGAGAGAATCGGAGTTTAGTTCTGATGATTCACAGGGAAATGATGGGCCACCACCGAGGATAAATATTGGAACGAGATATCAGGCGTCTATTCCACCGATGGGATCTGGCGAGACCGACAGAGGACGCGGGGGAAAGGAGACGGATCATCTGCTGTGGGATCCTGGTATTGTTCATGGGCTCAGTAATAATGAAGTTGACATGTATCTGCAGTTCGCTTGTTGTGCTAGTGTACCTGGTGGTGGGAGGAATAAAGAGTATGCACTGCATCTTCTACATATGTGCAAAGGGAATATCAGAGAGGCTATGCTGAAGCTTATGAGACCGACACCGATACTGCCGTCACAGCATCCACTTTTGAGTTACGAGTGCAGGGACTCGGATCGCTGGACATCACAGGAAATGCTGACTTTCTATCAGGGATTGATGGAGTACAACAAGGATTTCAGTAGTATAGCAAGAGATATCAGTACTAAAACACCTAAACAATGCACACAGTTCTACTATCTCTGGAAGAAGTTGTGCCCGAATGAGTATAAGAGAGTTAGGGCGAGACATGGGAGGCCGAAGATTAAGTGTGAGCGTCGGGATTTTGGAAGGGATAGCAAGGATACCAAGGAACTCAGGGACGCCATTGCCTCTGTTACTGAGATGGATTTCAGTGAGGAGAAATCGATTCTACATAGAACACTGGTGAGGCCAAATTGCCCTAATTTATTCTACGAATCACCTATCTTTGAGGTAGATTAATGACAATCGTTTATTCATTGATTAGTTGCAGACCAATGAGAGGGAATCGTCCGCAACCTTGACCACCAGCGAAGGGGAACTAAGGCTTTTCGCCTACGACTGCCCTGATGTGAGTATTGACAGGAAGAAATTTCTTTCTGATTTGAGACACTTCGAGATCAATCTATTGGAATTCACTAACATAAAAATACTACTGAGGACTTTTTGTCGTTGCTATTTCGACTCATTGATTCCATATTTTTGGTCATTAAAAATTGTGTATTGGAAGAGTTTTTTTTTTTTTCAAAGGATAACTATGGAAATGTGAACGTTAAATGTAGCATGTCGTTGTGTTTTAAACGTTTTCCTCAAGTGCTTAATCCTCCTGGAATAATGATGAAACGAACGAGAAAAACTAATGATTTCCTCACTGCACATAAATGTAATTGTACTCATACATATTTTTTTTTGTTCTCTTTTTTTTTCTCTTCTCATTTTATTCTCCATCGTTCGTGTTGTGTTTGGTGTTTTTTATTTTGGCTTTGTGTTTTCTTTGTGTTGTCAGAGCTTTAGCGGAAGTGTAACAGTAACGATGGCCGGAAGCAACATTGTCGCCAATAAAGGTCATGCAACAGTCAACACCAACTCACAAACTCACATTAGTTCTGAGCAACAACTACCCGTGCCCACCCCACTACACTACCCCTGCAAGATTTGCGGGAAGTAAGTTCGTCTAATTTTAAAAATTTTTCTTGTTTAACAATTCTTCCTGTTTTTTAATAAAAAATCTAACGCAGTTGATAATTATTTGAAAAATTCAGCATGTAGAAATGTAGAGAAGATACTGGGGTACATTAAAAGAAGATATCACCGGAACTATTGCCATTTTCCCTAGAGGAAAACATCGATTGATGGAGCTTAGGCCATATAAGACGTTATTTCACTTGAACGTCACGAGCTTTGCTTGCATTAAAATGCAAATAGTCATTATAATCACCGCTATCTCTCATTTGCCATTGTCTTTTGACTCACTGTTGTTTGGCCATTCACTGGAATGCACGTTTATATTTCCTTGTGTATCTTATGCAAGTATAATCAAGTATACATGCATAATAAAATGACTATCTGTGGAAGAAAATGAAAAAAATGTTTCTCCGTGCGCAAACTTGAAATACAAATGTCGCATGATTAATCCCCTGTTTTTAGCCGCATGAGTTGCATCGGTTGGAGCTTCCGCCATATCTGTGATTAATAAATTATAGTGAAAAAATACATAATAACATAGCGGAATCACATAATTACATTAATCAGAGTGTGCATAAAGAGTAAATGGGCAATTTGAATAATTTAATTGCAGAGTTTTCAACAAAGTGAAAAGCAGAAGTGCCCACATGAAATCACACCGGCCAATGCCCTCACCCGATTCAACGGGACAGGAGTCTAAAAAATTGAACAATCATCAACAGAAACAATCACACAACCAAGATCAATCAAATTCATCGGGTATGGTGTCACATGGACACGACTATCGACAGAAAATATCAACGACAAGTGATACTGTTAATCCAAGTGCCAATAATATTTGGCACAATCCAACCAGATTACGACCCCCATAGAACACTCAAATGCGCGCACTTGAGGTACCCTAACGAATGCTGCAAATAATCAACTACATCATCGATTTATTACATAAAAATTATTTTCTCGGGACTCTTCATCGTGAAAAAATCTCTCCGCTTACTGGCTTGGAGATAATTCTCATCTCGTTATGACCTCGAGTGCAACCAGCGCTATGGAGTTTCCATCAACGGTCTAAGGGAATAATAATGATTATTATTAATAGATTGTAAAACATGAATCAATGAGGATAATGAATGATCCCGTGAGGTAACCAGGGTATCGATAATGCGATGAATAAACATATTCGACACATGCAACGAGTCATCGGAAAAAATGAAGAAATCGAAAAACTGACAATCCCTCGTGAGTAGGAGAGAAAGAATAAAACAAAATGAACGATAATCATAAGATTATTAAGTCCATGGTACTATTTCTTAATCTAATGGTGCATGCAGAAAATGAAAAACGTCAAATTATTTATCTTCCGATCAATCCTTGATGAAGATACACTTTTCAGCGAATTACTTTCATCATAATCTTGCAGTAAATGTTGATAATAAATTGACGAATAATTTATCGCTAGAATCAAATTTTAATCAAATAATTCTCCAGTTTATATTTCGTGCGATGGTGATGATAGTTAATAACATTTTTGAGACTTCTTTGCGTACACAGAAAACCATTTTAAAAAATCAAATGTTCTAGGAAAATTCATTGAATGATAGACTTGTACATAAATATAAAAAAATTAATGTACATATTATTGTGAATGTCTGGATGTACACTGGGGAGTAGAATCTATGGAAAATCATGATATGGGGACGTAGTTTAGGTGAAGTTTAGAGCTATCAATTATTTTTAGATAGATGATCTTTCATTTTCGGTTTTGTGTTTTTTTTGCCCCTTTGTTTCATTGTATCTTTCACACGATTCTACGTGGCGAGACTCTTGCAAAAACAATCTCAAGTATATATCTAGTACTTAATGCACAAAATTAACGAAAATTAAACAATTTGTTAGCCTCGAATTGGTTTAGACAAATTGAATCGACACGCCACAATTGGATATGAAATAATGGCTAGGGAAATTAATTTAAAAGAAATTCCATTAAAATATGGATTTTATATCAAGTTTCATATTCTGAAACTCTAAATTGTTATTCAAGAGATTTGCCAAACGTAGACACAATTCTAATATATTGTTATTCATTGTTAAATAATCCTCAGCTACTCTAACTCTAACTATTTAAAGTAATTAAGGGGAAATATTGTACTGTACATTGGAACTTTTTAACGATGAAGAAGAGGCCATCGAGAGTTCTTCCTTTTTTATTTTAAAAGGTTGAAGATGACTGTCGGACACTTGAGACAAAGTCTCCGCCTAGAATCGTTTTTTAAATACACAAACTTTAATCATGTTCGATGTGAATAGAATAAATAACATCTTTCCTTAAAGTCTAGTGCCAATTGCTGTGAAACTTTTTCTTATCTTGATAGAGAAAAAATACTTCTAAGATCTTTTTCATCTTCTTTAATATCTTCAAAAATACACTTTTTCACAACTGAAAGAGATTAATGAATCAAAATAATAACATTGTCAAATACTCATCGTAATTTTGGTTACCAATGGGATGGTGAATATGTCGTTCTAATGATATACATTTTACCAGTGCCGCAGAGTGGAAGGAATCTTTGAATTATTTTGATTTTTTTATAATAACCTCCAGTGATAATGACTTGATATATAAATAAGACTTTTTAGACTGTACAAAATTTGTTAGTGAGTGACAAATTTATATTGAATCTACTATTCCCATGTGTACATGCTGGGGTGATGAATTCAGATGAGAAAAAAAAAAATAGGAGTAAAAGTGAAAAAAATTAGACAGACATATCATTTAAGACAATACACTTGTTACAGAAACTAAGTTTCTATTAATAATGATTACGATATCCAATTCAATCGTAAATTTCTTGTTTCTCAAATAAAAATAATGGAAAAGAACTAGATTATATTGAAGCAAAATGTGTTGTGAATACGAATGCATAATAGCAATGATAATATACGTCAATTGGTACAATATCGAACAAAAAAAAAACATAATACTAAATTCTTTAAAAATAGTTTAAAACTCAATGTTGAAGCTATTTTATTTCAACTTAAAATCATAAGTGAATCACTGGAGGCTGATTATAATGATCAAAATTTTGTTATAAAAATGGAAAAACCGGAAAATAGCAAAATTACCGAGATACCGATGACAAGAAAGAGCAAAATAGAGGAAATTTTGCTTGAAATTGTACAAACGAGTCCCTCCACATCACAGAAAGAAAACAATGCACACAAGAAAAAAGTTAAATTTTGAATGATCTATAGATATTGGTATTGGAAATGAGAAATGGTATGAGTCAAATGATTCTTACAAATGTGTTCTGCCAGTATTTTCAGCCAAAGCTGAACATATTTGTCAATTCGAAACTTCAAATATCCCCTTTCAATTCAGCCAGAAATCAAATGAAATTTCTTCGAATCAAGTTAAAAATAAAATCACGAGACTCAATAAAAAAAATTGAGATAGTTTACGAATCAATAAACTGAAATTACTCCAGGCAATAGTATGCCAGTAAAAAGTTCCCACATCAGCTGAGGCAGGTCATCCAGAATAATATTCAATAACAGAATAAACTCCAATAATTGAATGCAATAATAATCTGCACTCATCTCATTTTTCCATTTCAATACTGATACCTCTGTAGACAAATAACAAAATATATATATAAAACAAATTGATATGTGATGTAATTAAATGGTATGTGGTAATATGGTATTATGTATCTGTACATAGGCGGACCCGTGCCATCAACTAGTGAGTTGTACCGATATTGTACTGCCACTGTACCAAAAACGTGAAAAAAAAACTAAAGATAGCGAAGTACTTAATTTATTAAAACCGTACCTCTTTTATCACTCTATGTTTAGATAAATTAAATTATTTATTTAATTATTTATTGCCCACAAACAAATACTCTATGCTTAATTATTCATCACTGAGTAACACAATCCAATGATTCGGCAAAGTATATTGGTACAACTCGATAAAGAAAGTGTAGCGTGGTTTAATACACCTGAGGAATGTGCTCAAAATACTGTATTAAAAAAAAGAGAAAAAACGAAAAAAAAAACATTGGAAAAGAGAAAAAAATCATCGAAGTTTTAACGCAACATTTTACTCTAAAAACACAGAGGATAAAACATGACAAGAAAAAAAAAGTAAAAATTATAAGTAATTTGTAATCAATTTCAAATCTCCTAATCTAATTATTCTATACTTTGAATGTCTATCTCTATATACCAGTATGGTTCTCACTCTATCTCTATTAGGTGTTAACAATTATTCTATACAAATCTTCTACAATTAAAAGCAATACGATATATTGTTGATAGAAATTTTTTCGAGATTTCTGTCAGAAAAGAACTGGACCAGCTGTAAGAGTGTATCACGTTGTAAAAAAATACTTGGTTTAACCTACGCAGAAATAATTCGATCTTCCTATCTCAATCCTGCAATCAATAATTATAGAGAAAAACCTCTGAATAGTGAATAATAATTAGATCACTCGCATCAACTCAATTGCCGTTTTCCCTTCGATTACACAACTTCAGTAATTCTATGCTCAACTAGTTTTATTCGTATAGACTATTTATAAAAAAATACTATTATTCTACAAATCTAATGGTAGTAATCTCTAATCAAATTGGAATCATCATCTTGCTCAATCAAAAATGGAAACTCAAAAGAATCATAAATTAACTCAATGCTCGATCGCTCAAAACCGCTGCGAACTCAAACGCACGAGTATTATTCATTATTGTTGATTTTATTGTTGAAAAAAAAGTCCCTATTTTTAATCTACTTCGAATACAGCTGGTCTCTCTTCACGTTCTTTAAACGTACCTCAATTATGCATTACAGTGATAATTTTTCATTTACTTCCAACTTAACACTACCACTACTGAACTCTCCCATTATGCATTAACATCAGAAAAACAATTTGTAAGAAAAAAGTGACAAAGCAAAGAGAAACTAGACATATTTTTATTTAGTCTAATGAATGTTTCAGTAGTTTATTAATCAAAGTATTCGCATAAATGCAACTGTAATGCATAATGTAACTGAATCCGTTCAGTCAATATTTTCCAACGCAATGTGGTATAAATAATTGCCAAAATGATTTTAGAAAACAATAATTATATAGATGAACAGCTGGACCTACAAAAATAATGAAAAATAACAAAGGTAAATGGCCAAAGAGATAAATAATCATAAATAAACCTACTTGGCCTCAATGTCAACTCTGAGCCTAACCGGTAATATAAAAATTGAAATAATATATTAACGATTAAAACCAGAACGGCTTAATGATAAAGGCAACGAGCATCCGTACGTCAGTATTATTTTCAAGAGATGTAACATGTGAATTTTAGCTGAAAGACGAATATGAACAAGTCATTTTAAAATCGTCAACACGCCGTATTGCATATAAGTACGTACCGTTTAATTTAATATACACATACTACATACTAAAAATCTGAACATTATACATTGTACACATATAAATATAATTATAATATAATATATTGAGATCATAGTTATACGGGCTAATTGTCTGACGAGTGAGTAATTGTTTCTGTGTGCAAATGCCAGTGATTAAACAAAAACAAACAAATAAAACACCTCTTGCTACTTAACTAATGTATTTCTAGATGTCATATTCGTTGAACGTTGAGAAAAAACAAAATATGATTAAAACAACTTGTATAACCGGACGTCCCAGAATCACACAGCCATAATAAAAGTAATAATGAATACCGGTAGAAATTCAACGGAATGAACAAAATGAAAGAGAAA